TATATATATATATATATATATATAGCAACAGACTACACCACAGAAACCTGCTCCCCTCCCGGCTGGGATATCTGGTTAGCTGCTAGCCACGGCTAGCTAAATACGGCTGACTAGCTACAGCTTGCTAGATGCAGCTAGCCAGTCACAGCTAGCTGGAGCCATCTAGAGCTATCTGCCGTGAAGCAGATCAACCGCCGCACTGCGCTGTACGTACAGCCGGCAGCACTTCTAGCCCCAGCGTCTACCTTACTCACCTTACTGGCCACAAGCTAGCTAGACTGCTAGCTATAGAGCTTGCAACATGGCAGCTCCTGCAGGAGCAACAGCTGGCGGCAGCTGCAGCAGCTGCTGCGGATCTGCTGCTATGGCGACGAGACAAACATCTCCCTCTCGCAGCTCTAACTCTGCTGTTGCTGCTGCTGCTGCTGGTCTCGTGGTGATGAGGTGTACATAGAGCTCACCAGCTGATCCCGCAGCAGGTGGCACACCAGCAGTAGCAGCTGCAGCAGCGGCAGCAGGCTCTGCTGCTGCAGTCAAGGGCTGCTGCTGCTGCCTCAGGGGTTTTGCTGCATAAAGCGAAGCAAAAGATGTTCTGTTGTCTTCTTTAGTGGGACAGAATTCTCTTATAAACGTTTGTAGGCAGCTATCCGCTGCTTCCTTCACTACCTGCTGCTGCTCTAAGTACACCGCATGCCGCACCTGGTGGCTTATGAGGCACAAGAAGGAGGGGGCGCTGCAGCGGGAGGGGCCCACAGCTGCAGCACCTGTTGCTGCTGCTGCTGCAATGCTCTTAATTGTGCATGCAAGCAAACGAGCAGATCTATCTGAATACAAAACATCTGAAGCCACAACCAAACTGAACGGTGTGGCTGCACCAGCTGCTGCTTGCTGCTCCTGCTGCTGCAGCTGCTGCAGCTGCTGCAGCACCTCTGCACGGCTTTCGCTCCACCTGAGGAGCCCCAGAGTAGCTGCAGGCACCTGTGGCAGCTCCTGCAGCAAGCTAGACACCGCAAGCTCCTCCTCCTCCTGCTGAAGGAGCTGCTGGTGCTGCTTGACTTTGCTGCGAATGCCTTCCAGCAGGTCCACAGCAGCTGAAGCCAGCGCGTTTGCTGGTGCTCCGCAAGCAGCAGCAGACCTGTCGGCAGCAGCAGCAGAAGCAGCAGAGGGAAGAATCAAATGGGATCTAAGAGCTACTGCTAGAGACATATTGCAGCTGCTTAGCAGCACAGCAGCAGGATCTCCATCTGTTGTACATACACCGCAAACCCCCAAGAGACTGCAGAGACAGCTGACTGCCCCTAAGCCGCAGCCTAACTCTATCACGTGACGGTGTTGCAGCTGCAGAAGCTGCTGCTGCTCAATCAGATACTGCAGCAGCAAGCCAGAAGCAGCACCCCACAAATCGCTAGCTGTGCTGTCACCGTCTTCATCCAGCTGTACATACACCCGAAAGGAGGGACTTTCCTCTGAATGACACCCTAGAGGCGCCCCCGGTACCCTCCTTAAGAGCGGCAGCAGCAGCAGCGTTTCCTGCTGCTCATGTGCTGTTGCTGTTGCTGTTGCTGCTAGTGTTGTTGTTGCCGTTGCCGGTGAGAGTAGCTGGGGGGGCCCCCTACCACTTACCGGCAGCACCGTAAGGGTCCCACCCCGCTGCAGCTGCAATAAACACAGCTCCACCTGCATGCGCATTCTGTCGTTTTCGTTACATTGCTTGAGCCTGTTGCTGCTGCGGTTGCTGCTGAAGCTGCAGCTGCTGGCGCTGCAGCTGAAGCTGCAGCTGCTAGTGATCCTTCAGTTATATAGAAAAGGATTTCTTAGTATTTTCTAATTTGCAAATAGAAGAGGAAAAGTAAACTAACGACTGCAGCAAATTGCAGCAGCAAATAACGACACGGGGCCCCCCGGGGGCTGCTGCTGCAGCCCCGAGTACTGCAACAGCAGCAGATGTCTTTTTCTTTTGCATATTCAAGAGACAACAATGATAAATAAAATAATTAGTTCGCCTCAAAGCTGCCAGCTCTTCTTCTAACTGACTGTAGACCCTTAACCAGCTGCTGCTGCTGCTGCTGCTGCTGCTGTGGCTGCGGCAGAAGCAGCATCACGTCAAACACGTAATATTATAGTGTTTGTGGCACGCCCAGCATCTGTTACCCAACAGCAACAACAGCAGCAGTAACAGCAGCAACGGTAACAACTGCAGCAGCAGCAGCAGCAACAGCAGCAGCCACCACAACAGCAAGAGCAACCGCAGCAGCAAGATGGCTGTCACACTGAAGACAAACCTCGGCGACCTAAAGGCCGAACTCTTCTGCCAGCAAACACCGCGCACATGCAAAGTAAGGACGACTGCTACTGCTGCTGTTGTTGTTGGCGTTGTTGTTGTTGCTGCTGCTGCTGCTCGGGATTCACGGGCGGCTTGCTGCTGTTGTTGTTTCTGCTGCTTCTCAGAATTTCTTGGCCCTGTGCGCTTCCAATTACTATGATGGCTGCATGGTGACGAGGTAAGTAGGGTTGCTGCTGCCGCAGTTGCTGCTGCTGCTGCCGTTGTGGTTGCTGCTGCTGCTGTCGCTGCTGCTGCTGCTGTTTATCGCTGTCTCTTAGTGAGTAACTTCGTTATTTCCCTTCTTTTTCGTTTTCATTGTATTTCCTTATCTGCTTGTCTTCTTTACTACATCTTTTTACTTTTTTCTCCCTGTTTATATCCTCCGTTTTGCCGTTTTGCTTTTTGGCTTTCTGTTTTTCTTCCTGTTGTCATATTTTTGCCTGTCTTAATTTATTTATTTTTCTTCCTTCTCTATCTTTTCTCCTCTCTTTGTTTATTGTCTCATTTTTGTTTTTTCTCCTTATTTCCTTCCCTTTGTTTGTTGTATATCCTCCTTATCTCCTCTTTTTCTCTCCTTTTTAAGTTTCCTTTATTAATTTATTTTCTCTCAGTTAATTTAATAAATCTAATTAATTTTATTAATTTTATTTATTTTAATTAATTAAATTAAATTAGGTTAAATTATTTGATTTAATTTTATTTTATTTTTTCCCGTAGAAACATAAAAGGCTTTGCTGTACAAATGGGCGACCCAACAAACACCGGCAAAGGCGGACAGTCGATCTATGGCGGATTCTTTGAAGATGAATTCGTATCTACTTTAAAGGTAACTAATTAATTAATTAGGTGGTTAAATTAATTAAATAATAAATAAATTAATACTGAATAATATTGGTTATGAGTAAATAAATGATAGTAATAATTAATTTATTTACTGCAACGAATTAATTTATTTATTGAGCGTAAATAGTCAGTTTGTCCCGTCTTTATTTTAAAGGTAAATAGATAAATATGTTATTAAGTAATGTAAGTGTATAATAGATGTGCAAATAAGTGTATATGGAAATTATTTTTTAGTTAAGAGGATTAATTTTTATTTATTCATTAAATAGATAAATAAATAAGTAGATTTTATTTATTAATGATTTAAAGGTAAATTTGTTGCTTCTGGTGTGTGGTGGAGTGGGGTTGCTGCTACTGCTTGTTGTTTGCTGGTGCTGATGTTGCTTGCTGCTGCTGCTGCTTGGTATTATAGCATTGCGGCTTTTATTTTATGAATGCTGCTGCCTTTTGTTGTTGTATGCTGCTACATCTGCTAGTACTGCTTTTGCTGCAGTTGGCTGGCTGGCATTTGTTGCTGTTGTTTAGCGTCACATTCGATATTGTTGCAGCAGCAGCATTAGAAAAAAAAGTCACTACCAATACACCACTACCGCCTCAGCACAAGCAGCAGCAGCAGCAGGAACAGGAGACTCTGTGCGTATTTATGCGTGCAGCACGACCGTCGTGGTGTGTTATCGATGGCGAATCAAGGATCCCCTAATACAAATGGCTCTCAGTTCTTTATAACATATTCACGACAGCCGCATTTAAATGGGGTGTATACTGTATTTGGTCGTTTAATTGACGGTCTAGACACCCTAGATAAAATTGAAAAGACACCTGTAGGAAAGAAATATAGACCTGTTACGGACATTATCATTAATGAAGTAGTCATACATGCCAATCCTATAGCAGAGCAAGAACAACTCTAGTTCCCTAGCAGCAACAGCAGCAGCAACGGGCTCCTGCTGCTTGTAGTGGTAGTAGTGGAGGTTATTGCTGTGCTGCCGCTGCTGGTGCAGCAGGTGTTCTTGATGCAGCATTATCAGCAGCCGCAGTTGCGGATGCTGCTGTTGCAGCATTGTTAGAAGCAACAGCACGGTTAGCAACAGCAGCAGCAGTTGTTTCTGTTGCTGTTGCTGCTGCCGCGCATAGCCTTGTAGGGGGGGAGGCATTATAAGGGATTTTCTTTGTAATCAAAACCATATTTGTCTGTCATGTTTTTCGTGTGCTGCTGCTGCTGGTTAGACAGCTGGTGGGCATCTGAGAGACAGAAAGTGGGAGGAGACAAGAAAACAAACACCGTCAGAGACGAATACAAACACTAATTACCCACAATGTATATATTGACAGAAAGATATATATAAAGAGAGAAGACGAGAAGTATATTATTTTGAGACTTAGAACCAAAGCACACAACAAGAGACACCAAACAGCAGCAACAGAGAAAAGAAATAGTTGCTTTGACACACACGTAAAACAGGGTTTACTGTTGTGGGAGTTTAGGGTTTAGACAGAAGACTGCTGCGCATTGCTGTTGTTGCCTTTAGGCTCAGTACAATTTTTCTAGGGTTAATGCTCAAAATGCCTATTCCCATTATTTAGTGTCTAGGGATCTAGGTTTTGGGGTTGAGGGTTCTATTTTTTAGGGTTTAGAGTTTAGGTAGGTTTAGTTAGGATTTCTCTGGCGGTAATCCTTACAATAGAAAGTCTAAATATTTTAGCTCTTTCCTTTTACAGGCGGTCTGGCGGTGAGCAGCGACCTGCTGCTGCTGGTGTTGCTGCTGCCCCTTTTGCTGCTGTTGCTGCTGCTGCTCTTGAGCCAATGGGTTGTTCAGCAACACCAGCAGCAGAAGCAGCTGCAGGAAGAGCCACTGTTGCTTGAATTGGCACAAGAGTGTTTTGGTGTTGTGTGCAAACGGAGAGAGAAGCACTAATTGTTTTACTTTGCAAAACGTCAGACAACAAAAATTCAGATGAAAGGCGCAGGTGCAACGTGCAGCGCCACTGCAGCCCAGCAGCAACCTGCAGCAGCAGCAACAGGAACGGCACCAGCAGCAGCAGTAGCAGCAGGAAAAACAAGAACGGGAACAGCAACAGCCATAACAAGAGCAGCAAGCAACAGCACGCAACAAATTAATGGGCTGGGAGCTGTTGCTGCCGAAGCACACTCTGTAGCAACCGGCACCAGCAGCAGCAGCAGCAACCGCAACAGCAGGAACAGCAACAGCAGCAGCAGGAACAGCAGCAGTAGCAGTATAGAGCAAAGCAGCATCGTGAGGAGCAACAGCAACAACAGCAGCAGCGACATTAGCAGCAGACGCAGCAGCAGCAACAACAGGTTAAGTGATTGTGTGTACGCACTTGTCCTGTCGTTGCTCCTGTGATTTCAAAAGCTGCAGGAGCAATGCCTTTAACTGCAACAACTTCTGCCTTAAATCTGCTGCTGTGGGGCCCCAACAGCAGCACAGACACCTCGCAGGAGCTACTGCAGCCAGCAGAAACATTGCCAAAGTCTATAATGGAAGGACGCACTTCTATGCCGTCGCGAAGCCCCAAGCTCTTAGCATCAGCCTGCAACAGCAGCCGCAGCATCAATGAAGGGTAATAGACGGAATGTGGTGGAGCAGGCCTTCTTTTATTGCCGTGCATGTCTTGCAGCGACAACTCTGCTAAAGGCACTCAAGCACCTCAGCAGCACATGCAGCTGCATCCGCAATAGCAGCAGCAAGAGCAGCAGCAGCAAGAACACCAGCGACAGCAGCAGCAGCACCAGTTTGTTCACAATCTTTGTCTCATGCGTAGGGGCATTTTTGCCTCCGCCAGTCAAGAGGGCCAGCCGAGCTTCTGCCGCACCTCCCTGCCATTTTTGCTGTTGATGTTGCTGTTGCTGCTGCTGTTGCTGCTTCTGCTGCTGTTGCTGCTGATGGATAACTCTGGGTGATTCGAAAGGCTGCACAGTTTCTTGTGAACAGTTTAGAGGTCCCAAAGGACTCCAATTGCTGCTGTCGCCTTTTAGTCGCCTACGGTACCCTCCTGCCACACGCACAAAGAAGCGAGGGTTTAGGGTTTTGGGCTAAGGCTTTATACGACTACGATTTAGGTTGGAGTGTTTAGGGTTTAGGTTTGGGCCAGGGTTTAGAATTGGGATTTAGGGGGTAGGATTTGAATTCCAGAATTTAGCTGGGGGCTGCCCTGAGGGTCTAGGGTTTGGGATTGTTGCTGATGCATACCTTCTTCTGAGTTTGTATGTGACAGAGCGTTGGCTGCTGCAGCTGCAAGGGCGCGTCCAAGAGTAGCTGCTCTTGCTGCTGTTCCTGCCTCGCCTGTTGCTGCTGTTACTGTTGCTGTTGTTGCTGCTGCACGGAGATGCAAATTTTCAGTTTGCAAAACAAGGGGAATTGGCTGTCTCCTTCGTTCTGCAGCAGCAGCAGCAGCGGCTTCTGCAACAGCAGCAGCAGCAGCTTCTGCGACCGCTGCTTCTGCTGCTGCTGCAGCTGCAACTTCGGCAGCAGCTGCTGCTCTTCGGCGAGCACAGGCAGCCTTTGCTGCTGCTGCAGCAACAGCGTTGCTGGAGGCAAAGCATCCCGCGTGTAAGCCATGCTGGTGTTGCTGGTGTTGCTGCTGCTGCTGTTGCTGCTGCTGTTGTTGCTGCTGCTGAACGTATGCAAGGGACTGCTGCCTGCAGGGACACACAGGAAAGTCTCCTCATATGTTTTCAGCTCCTGCTGCTGCTTCTGTACTTCTCGTTTCTGCTACTGCTTGTGCTGCTGTTGTGGCTGCTGATGCTGTCACTGCTATTGTTTCTGCTGCTCGTATTGTTGATGCCATTGCAGTTGCTGCTGCTGCTAATGATGCTGCTGCTGCTGCTAATGATGCTGCTGCTGTTTCTATTGCTTCTGCTATTGTTGCTGTTGCTGCTGCTCTGGTGCCAAAGGTGCATGATATCGTTTACATTGCGGCTCCACCTGTTCCTCTAATTTGCTGCTATTCTCTTCTAGGTGGTGCTGCATTTTCTTTCCGTCTCTCCGATTGTGGTATTGAAGCCAGCAACAGCAGCAGCAGTCGCACCAGCAGCAGCAACAGCAACAGCAATAGCAGCACTAACAGCAGCAGCATTACCAACACAATCGCCACCACCACCAGCAGCAACAACAGCAACATCAGCAGCAGCAGGTGAATGCGTACGCGCGTATTGGTTGCGTGGCATTTCTTCTATATTGAATTGCTGCAAGTTCGAGTTGTAAACGCGTGGAGATGACTGCCAAAGAATTGCGAGATATTACTGACGCTCGTGATGAATATACACCACAACCTGATAATCATTTACCAGCAGCAGCAGAAGCAGCAGCAACAGCAGCAACGGCAACAGCAGCAGCAACAACAACAACGGCAGCAGTAACAACAACAACAGCAGCAGCAAATGCAGTAACAAAAACTGCAATAAAAGCAGAGACAGCAACAGAAGGCGCAACAGCAGCAACAGCAACGCCGGTAATCGCAGCAACAGCAGCAACAGCATGAGCAGTAGCAGCAGCAAGAGCAGCAGAAGCAAGAGCAGCAGAAGCAGCAACGGAGGAAAGGACGAGCCGTTGAAACGGAAAAACGTCAGCTAAAAACTGCATGTATCGATAAACAAAAACTAAACAAGACAAGTAGACAATAAACAATATATAAACAATAAGTAAATGGATGAATAAATGAATAAATAAACACATAGACAAAACGAAACAATTGAATACAACTAGACACTTAAACACATGCAGAGTAAATAAACAAATAAAACGACAAACTCAGTAAACAAGTATAAAGTGAGTATGCGAATACAAAGTAAATAGACACGTAAATATACAATAAATAAGCAAAATAAAATAACAAACTAAAAAGACAGCAACATAAACAAACAAGCAAAACAAAATAAACCAAGAATAAATAAAATCAAAAATAAATAAAACAAGAAATAAACAAGACAAAAAATAAATTTGTTTGCTAGGAGGGAGAAGCCCCTCCTCCGCTGCAGCGAACTGCAGCAGCTAACAAGCGTCTGCAGTTGCTGCAGCATAACGCTGCTGCTGGTGCTGCTGTTGCTGCTGCTCTTGCTGCTGTTGCTGCTGTTCTTGTTGCTGTTGTTGCTGCCGTCGCTGTTGTTGTTGCTGCTGCTGCTGGCAGGCAGGCGTTGAGTGGGTTTTGGTGCTGCTTTGAACTGCTGCCGTTGGAGCTGCTGCTGCCGGACTATCTGCTGCTGCTGCTGTTGCTGTAACTGCTGTTACGTTTGTTGCTGCTGTTGTCCTTGCTGCTGCAGCTGTGTTGTTGTTGTGCAGCATAGGCAGCAGCAGCAGCAGCAACAACAGCAGCAACACAAGAATTGTTTACGTCAGTTTGTCTACGAACTTTTTGTGGCTGTTTCCTTTCTGCTCAAATCTGAAGCAGCAGCAGCAGCAGCACCAGCAGCAGGAGAGTGTATGCACGGACCTTCTGTCTGTCTCCTTTTGTCTCCAATCTGCAGCAACTGTAGCGGCGTTCCTGCTGCTGTCTCCCAATAAAGATAAGAAGAATATCCCCTTTCTAAGCGACGCAACTCTTGACCTCCAGCAGGCGGATACACCCGAAACCTCCTGCAGAAACCTTAAAGCCTAAACCCTAAACCCTAATTGACGAGTCGCGCTACTCCAGGCGGCCGAAGAGGAGTGAATTATTCAGGGGCTGTAGCACACACTATACATGTTATAGGGTTTAGGGGCTGTGATTGAGGATCTGCTGCTCCCTAAAAGAAAGCGTGGTAAATGCCCTACACCCTAAACCGCAAGCTGAAACCCCAAATCAAAGCTGTTCAATATACGCCAAACCCCTGTCCACCTAAGCTTTAAGCCATAAGCCCTCATATGAGCATGTAGAGTACCGGACAGTCGTCTTGACTTTGGGCCTTCTGGGTAGGGCTTCATCTTCTTCCTTACGAAGGAGTTTTTCCCACAAAGAAAGAGCCTCTGCTTCCTGCAGCAGAAACAACAGCAGCAGCCATCCTAGTAGCAGTAAAAGCCGTACTAGCTCTAGCAGCAACAACCACACAAATAGCAGCAACAGCACCAACAGACAACAGCACCAACAGAAGCAACCGTACCAACAGAAGCAACGACACCCACAGCAACAGCAGCAGCAGCAGCAGCATCAGAAACATAAGCAGCAGCAGCAATAGCAGGAGCAGCAGCAATTCGCTGTGCATGGATGAGTTGAAGTGTGTACCTGTGGTTGTGGCAGAGTGTCTATCATTGTTTGCCTTTTACTATTTTTATCTTTTATTTGCAGCAACATAAAGTCACTGTATCCATTAGCAGCAAACGGGCCTTCCCAATAACACCCACTCTCTCCCTCTGTACATGCCTGCAAGGCAGCAAACTGCCTGCAGCAACAGCAGAAGCAAAAAGGCCAGCAGTAGCAGGAAACCAGCAACAGAAGCAGCAGCAAAACCAACAATCGCAGCAGAACTAAAACGGAAACATCAAGGAGGATAGTGCAGCAAAGAAAGAAGGGCGTATCTGCAATTTGTCGGGCTAAGGGAGAACAATTAAGGTTTGGGGTACAAGGCTTAGGATTTATACTTAGAGTTTTGCAACAATCGGGAAAAACAAACAAAAACACCGGAAGCTAACAGAAGCAAATCACAACAAGATAAAATCTAATTAATTAAATTAAATTAAATTAAATTAATGGAAGGTTGAAACATACTGCGAAGTCAGCAGCTCTTCTGCCTCTCCAGTTGCCCCAGAGATAGCAAATAGCCGAGGAGGCCAAATAATTGACCCCACAGGAGCGGCCCCACACTCTGCTGCTGTTGCTGCTGTTGCTGCTGCTGTTGCTGCTGTTTTTCCTGGTGCTGCTGATCCTGCTGATGCTGCTGCTGGAGCTGCTGCAGCCGCTGACTCTCTGTCTGTGCAGCACGTGTCCTCAGACTCCAATTCTGCCCCCTCGCTGTCGCGAGGTACTCTATCCCTCCTGCAGCAGGAATGTCGGCGACAGAAGCAGCACAACACCAGGCTGCAACGTAGCAGCAGCATCAATGCGAATGCTCGCGCAAACGCCCCCAGCAGTACATTACTACCATTAAAAGGAAGCAGTGCCTAGTGCAGGAGCAGCAGGAGCAGTAGCTGCAGCAGCACCGACTGCAGCAGCAGCAGCAACAGCAGCAGCAAAACAGCAATGCTGTGCCTTACCCCAATCGGCACACTTCTGCCTTCCCCTTAAAGCCTCTAATTTCATTAGTAGGCAGAGAAAACACGACAGAGACACGATCTCCTTCTGCAGCAGCAACGGCAGCAGCAACAACGGCATCGACAGCAAGAAGTGCAGCATCAGCAGCAACAACAATTCAACTAACCGTGCACGAAGGAGCCAAATTAGTAGTAGCAGCAGCCAAAAAGCAATCAGCATCAGCAGCAGCAGCAGCAGCAGAAGTAATAAGGAAAGGGAAACATATGCTGGTGCTCCGTGCCTTCATTGTCTGCTGGAGCTGGCGGATATGCAAATATCTGCAGCAGCATTCATAAGCAGAAGCAGCAACACCGAAGACAGCAAGCTGCAGCAGCAGCAGCCACAATGAAAATGACAACAGCAGAAGGTCCAATCTGCTGCTTCAGCAGGCTCTCAGCAGCCCTCTACCTGCCATTGGTACGCAGCAGCAACAACAGCAGCAGAAACACCAGCAGCGGCGGCACAGCAGCAGCAGAATCAGGAGGTTACATTTGCAAATGGGTCAATCCTGAAGGAAGTGGCATTTGTTTGCTTTATTTCAACTATCTGCTTCCCATCCTTGTCTCTTCTGATGACAACAAACAATATATACATATATATATATATATATATTATAT